AAAATTTATGAAGCAGTAGTACATAACTCTCAAGTATTCAAAGTGTTAAGTATTCAAAGGCTATGTTAATTCTTTCTTTAATGGGAAAAAAGAAGAAGAAGAAATAAACAAAGTAGGTAACCATGTGGATTATTTACTTCTTCACAGGTCCAGACACAGCAAAGGGGATTGCACAACACTCCAGTTTTCTATGGGTGGCAGCAAAATGTGAAAGCAAAGGATTCACTAAGTTTGAATAGCTAGATCCCTCAAGGGTTAATTCCAAACAGAATTGGCTCTTCTGTCTTCTATTCTGTAATTTCAAAGTGCCATGCCCCAACCCCCATGAGATCTAGCTCTGAAATCTGTTGTAATTATTTATCTTTCTAATCTGTTCCTCTAAAGGAGTAAACTTTATGCTGTTAGTGTTTCTAGACTCTAAGTAAATGCCAACCCACAGTAGATGCCAGAAAGTGTTTTCAAATGTTAACCAGAGGGAGGAAAGCCATGGGGTTAATGGGAAAGTTTTTGGTAAGAACAAATGAGAAAGTATTTTCCATCGTGGAATGGGAAAAGTAAACCAATTAATTAAGAATTAATTAAAGGGTTATTGTTTGACCTAGCATTTATGCACATATCCTCTATTGGAGGGCCTGAGAAACTCTAGTTCTTGACTCCAGCTTTCTACTAGTGTAGACCATGGAAGGTAGTGGTAATGGCTCAAGTACTTGGATTCCTGTCACCTGCATGGGAGGCCTGGATTGTGTGCCCAGCTTCTGTGTAATTCCTCTTGAGAGTCCTACACACTCCCTTGAGTCACAGGGTCAGATGTCCCACCTCTGTGCCCCCACATACCCATGGATTATTCTCTTATGGGACTTACCAGGCTGCTTCATAATTTTGGTTTATACATCTGCCTCTCCGGTTAGACTGAAAGTTTGGTGGTAGTAGAATTCATCTTGCAACTTTTTATGTTCCTAGTACCTAACTTGATTCCAAACAAACAAGTGCTAATTTAATAATGAATACACAAAGGAAGGAAAAGAAGGATTTAATGAAGAAATGAATCTTTGTTAAATAACATTAGCAACAACATGAAAAATGGAAGGTTCTAGTCATGACATTTTCACCATGAAGGATGGAAACACATGCTCCAATCGGCTTAATAAGATCATAGCTACTATAAAATAATGACAGATAATGAGTTAGGTCATACAAAGGGCATGCACAAGCTCTGACAATGTCTCCAGTAATTCTTAGTCTCTGGACGCCAGGATGCTTTTTGCTGTGCAAGCTCTATTCTTAGAAAGGCTCTCACCAGGCAATGTCAAACTTCCAGACTTGCATCTTGCCATTTTAACAATCCCAGCAAGAAGCAACAGCCTCTAATTCCCCTTACTCTGGCACAACTGCCATTGTCCCTGATTTGGTCACTCTGAATTTATTTGAATTAATCTGACTCACATTAGTCTGAATGACAGCAAGAGCATGAAGGAGGGCCCAATATTGCCTCAGATCACAAGCTTCCCCTCTTAAGCTTCCAAGCAGAGTCGTTTCACCTTAATACATGGGCTGATGTGGGCAGAGATGAAGATATCTAATGGAAACTGGGGTTTTAAGAAGAAAGTGGGAGGAAAGCTTTAAGAAGAAAGTGCTAAACAGGTATGAATTGGAGATTGGATATGGGAAAAAATTAAACATTGTCTTACAAATCGTAAGGGATTAACGCTGATACTCTGTTGGTGAAGGAGGTGGTAGATCTTGCAATCTAGTGACATATTCAGAGGTTTTCATTCTCTCCCTGGAAAGCACAGCCATGGTACAAAAAGTCACAGCTGTTAGGAAATGGGGTGGGAGTGGTGCAAGTTATGTCAGTAAAGTCCTCAGAGAAGATCATGGTAAAGCTTAGGCATGCCTCTCTTTCTGGCTGCCTGGTTAGTAATATGAGCGCTCAGCAGAAACAGCAAGTCATACGACTTAGATAGCCAGGATGTTGTCAAAACATCACAGGATAGAATAGAATTCAGTACCCTGGGCTTCCATTTTACTGACAACTCCAATGGGTTGGTGATTGCATGAGTTTGCAACTTATCGAAGTAGCATTCAGTACATATCAAAACAAGAAGGAATTTGCTTATTGTAGTAGACTTTAGAGATTGGTGCTATTAAAAATTCCTAAAACTTAGTATGAGGCTGTGACGAATTAAATCATGACAAATGGCATATTTTTTTAAAGATTTATTTATTTGAAAGGCAAAGTTACAGAGAGGTAGAGGCAGAGAGAGAGAGAGAGAGAGAGAGAGAGAGAGATGTCTTCCATCCTCTGGTTCACTCCTCAAATGGCTGCAATGGTCGGAGCTAGGCTGATCCAAACCCAGGGGCCAGAAGCTTATTCCGGATCTCCCATGGGTCCACTTCTACTGCTTTCCCAGGCCATAGCAGAGAGCTGGATCAGAAGTGGAGCAGCTGAGACTTGAACTGGTGCCCATATGAGATGCTGGCACTGCAGGCAGTGGCTTTACCCACTATGCCACAGCACCAGCCCCAACAAGTGGTGTATTAAGAAAGCAGAAGAGCTTTTCTATTTCATTAGTGCAAATGATTTTTATTAAACATGTTTCAGGAGTCACACAGATAACTCTATACATCATGGATGGATTCTTCACACGTCTCATCCCTTTGGCCGGCACTGTGGATTAACTGAAATTATTCTGCTCTTCTGAAGTACTCATGTCACTGCTTTGGGTTGGGTCTGGAAAACACTTCAGCTAAAATTTCCTGCTGTTCTTTAGTTTCAAGCAATAGATGAAAAGTGAGCCAACCACAGCTCTTAACCACCAAAACAGAAACACAGTCATTTCTCAAATCTTCTCCAATAAATTGTTTGGAGAAAATGTATTCCTATTTCATATAAGGTATAAAAATGTAAAAGAAAAAATATTTGAAAATATAAGATTCTTCATGAATATGAGGCAATTTCAACAAGTTCATGGAAAATGGATATAAACAATAAATTTATTTTGTTGCCAAAACTCTGAAACCCACACATAATACAAATTTTACATAAACTCTTAGAAGACACTTTGGGCCGGCGCCATGGCCTCAGCCTGCAGCACCAGCACCCCGGGTTCTAGTCCTGATTGCTCCTCTTCCAGTCCAACTCTCTGCTGTGGCCCGGGAAGGCAGAGGAGAATGGCCCAAGTGCTTAGGTCCTTGCACCCGCATGGGAAACCGGGAGGAAGCACCCGGCTCCTGGCTTCGGATAGGCATAGCACCGGCCGTAGCAGGCCATTGGGGGGTGAACCAACAGAAGGAAGACCTTTCTCTCTGTCTCTCTCTCACTGTCTATAACTCTCTCTCTCTCTCTCTCTCTCTCATTGTCTAACTCTGCCTGGCAAAAAAAAAAAAAAAAAAGACACTTTGTACAAGTTCACCCACCCCTCCTTTCAAATTTTGTGATGCTGAATATTTAAATAATAAATTTATGTTTCTTTAAAAGTTTTTTTTTTGCTGCTTATAAAAGGATTCACCATTAAATATTTCTATGTGGGAAGTGTCTTCCAGTTTGCTATAACAAAATATGATAGGTCAAAGCCTTAAGCAACATTTATTCCAGTGATTTAGAGGCCAAATCCAAGATCTAGTTGCTGGTAGATGTGGTGTCAGCTCAGGACAACCTTCCTAGTTTGCAAATGGCCACCTGCTGGCTGTATCCTCTCATTGAACAGAGAGAGAGAGAGAGAGAGAGAGAGAGAGAGAGAGAGAGAGATTATGAATGAGTCTGAGCAGTCTCTGGTGTCTTAGAAGGGCTCTAATCGCATTGTGAGTACCCCATCATCATGACCACATCTAAACCTGAGTAGTCATCTTCCAAAGACCCCACCTCCTAACACCATTACTTTGTGGGTTAGAGCTTCAAGGTAGGGATTTCAGGGAGGACGCAAATGTTCAGACCATAATGGGTAGCATGTAAAACACTACTTCCACTTTGTTTATTTCACTAATGTTTATATAATACTTAATATGTACTGATGTTGTACAAATGTTAACACACTGAATACCAGCAACTCTGTAAGGTAGACACAATTATTATTAATTTTCTTATTCAGATGAGAAATAGGAGCAGAGATTTCAGCCCCCGCTACCTTGCTGGGCTATGTCTACAGCTCCGCTTGCAGGCAACATCCTGTTACCCAGATAGACCTATTTCTACCTTCAACAGGTTGGTAGGTAAAAGAGCCTAACTGGCTATCTTTTCTGTCCTCAGACAGGAAAGGTGATCCTCCTGAACCCAGAACCCTCATGGCCTCCCATACAACCAAAGGATGAGACTCCTGGAATTACCACTCTTTGCGAAGTCACAGAGCACTGCATTCTAAAATATACACTGAAAACCCGTGGCAGTGCACTGTGACCCACCTGGTCTTTGTCTCTGCCGCAGAGAAAGGACACTCAACGTGATATCTTTCACACCAGAAAATACCAGATAAAAGATAATAGTTTTTACCTGTTGATAACTGCATTGACTTAAAGCGGGCATTGAAAAACTTCAGAAATGAGTGGAATTTGGAAAACTCTAGTTAAAGAGAGAAGAGAGAGAGAAAGTGAGAGAGAGAGAGAGAGATACAAGAGAGGTTGTTGATCCCCAACTCCAATCACAACGCAAATGTTTTTTGTAGAACAGTAACTGCTGCAACAATGCAAGGTCCTGAATCGCCAACTCCCGCCTGCACAGAGGTCACTGGCGCAGGCCAGCTAGCTGCGGTGATTCCAGCGCGGCGGTCAAATCACACCCCCCCCCCCCGTAGGGATTTGGGGCAGACAACTTGGATCCTAGAGTCCCAGGGTCAGGGCCAATTACGCAGGAGGGCGGGGCCTGCGCTTTGGTACCGCGCCCGGGGATCCACCAGGAGCTCCGGGAATTTCCCTGGCCCGGGGGCTCCCGCTTTTCCCGCCCCGAACGGGCATAAAAGGGGTTCTCCGATCGCAGCGAGCCACAGAGCCCGGACGGCCACACCAGCCACAGCTGCCTCGCTCCAGATACCCCCGCCGCCGCCACCTGCCGCCGAGTCCCATGGCCCCCGCCGCGTGCCCCGCCGCGCCCAGCGCTCCCCGGTTCCTGCGGACCGCGATGCTGCTGCTGCTGCTGCTGGCCGCCAGCCGGCGCGCAGCAGGTGAGTGTCGGGCCCTCCACCGCGGGCCGGGACGGTTCTTGGGGAGAGGCGGCGCGCGTGCCGCACAGCCGCGCTCACCGCGTCTCCGCTCCCCGCAGGGGCGCCCGCGCTCACCGAGCTGCGCTGCCAGTGTCTGCAGACCGTGCAGGGCATTCACCTCAAGAGCATCCAGAGCCTGAAGGTGCTGTCGCCGGGCCCGCACTGCGCCCAGACCGAAGTCATGTAAGTCCCGCCCCGGCCCGCTCCGCGCCGCCGCCGCCCCGCACCTGCTCTGGCCCGACCCCTGGCTCACGCGGGTCCTCCCGTCTCTCTGCAGAGCCACGCTCAAGTCCGGGCAGGAAGCTTGTCTCAACCCCGCCGCCCCCATGGTGAAGAAATTCCTGCAGAAGAGGCTCAGCAAGTGAGTGAGGGGCTCCGGGACCCGCGGCTGCAGGCCCTGCTCCCACCCCTGGGACCCCTGAAAATACAATGCAATTTGCCATGGCTACCATGGGCCTGCTCCGGTGCCGGAAGTGAATTTTTAGTCCTTGGCACCCTCCATTGGAATGAGGGTCAGTTCCTCACAGATGAAGCAGATTTGGCCGTTGGTGTTAATATGCCTTCTGCCTAGTAAGGAAAGCCTCGTGGCCTCCTGGCCTGAAAAGTGAAAGCTCTAGATTTTGGCCAACGTGTCTTAGCCTCGCGAAGAGCAGGGACTTTGCAGTGACAGCCCCCTAAGTCCAGGCTAGGATCCCTGTGGACATTATTTAATCGCTCCCCATTTCAGAAAAATAAGGCAAATGATGATAGTTTATAGGGCAGTGTGCATGGCTGAAGTAAGGTCAGGCTTGTAAATCTGTAACTCCAAGTGAAGCTTCGTCCATTTCCAAACAGTCATGTCCTTGAGGCCCCAGCCTGTTCTTTTACTTATAAAAGCACCCAGATGCTCAGCTTCTTGGCTATGCTGGCCAGTGAGCACAGCCAGACACAGCAGGCAAGACTCTGCAGGCAAAACCCCCTCAGTCTCCAGGGGCTACAATGAAAGAGCAGCTTTGGCTTTCGTTAGCACCTCTAACACTAACCTCTCTCTTCACAGGGGCAGCAGCAACTAACCCAGGCAGAAGGAAGAAGCTGATGGGTGGTGGCTGGTGCAGGGTGGTCCTCTCCCTTAACAGACCCGAAAGTGAAAAGAGAGCAGCTGATTTCTGAAGACACTTGGAAAAGGGCTTAGAGTGTTTGATTATTTTGTATGAGAGTTCTCTTTATTTATTATGTATTTATTTATTTCCTAAAGTTTGTATTTTAATATTTTGCATGTTGGTATTTGAAGATATGAATGTGTTTCAGCAAACATAACTGTCCTAATTGTTCACTTTGAAGTTGTTTGGTTTTGGATCTTATGAAACTAATGTATTTATTGGGAGGCGATTGAGTGTCAGCCACTGTGACAGGATGGGTGGAGTTGGGCATCGGAGCAATCAGTGAAATCATTGCTGGGAGAAGGGACTGTGTGTGTAGAACTATTTTTGTACTTTTTTGAAGAGAATGTCAGTTATTTATTGAAACTGTCTCATGTTATGTACTCAACATTTTTATGTTGATGCTTCCCTTGGACATTCTATGTCTTACTTGTAGGGCATAATGCCTTGTTTAATGTTCATTGTACAATGAACAGAGGGGTCACAATTATTTTTACAAATGACATGAAAAATAAAAGTTTTACAAAAAATAATATGCTTACATTTTGTTTTGTTCTTCTTGCCTTTCAATGTCTGTTGGGTGCCCACGTGTTCTCCAGTGAGACTCTTGGTTAGAGCTAACTGTGTGCTGTGTTCCCTTATGTTTCTCTTACTCAAGGAAGAACAGTTGATGCTTTTCGAAAGCACACACTACCCTGATGAACACCTTGATATTTTTTTTTGGTTTTGTATAGACTATCATTTTTTCACACAAATTTACTATTCAAAATTAGTGATTTACAAATACTTGAATTGTTATAAACATTTTAATAAGGAATTCTGTAAATGTTTTTGGTAAAGTAGTTTTCAAATAATTAGGAACTTTCCCTTTTAATGAACTACGGGGATAAATACATATTGTAAAGTAAGATATATGAAAAAGTAACACAGAGATAACAAAAAGATAAGGAGATAAATGGATTGAGAATATAACATGCTCTTCAATTGTTAGAGGAAGTAGTAAGTTAAAGACAATTGCAATGTAGCAAGAAAATAATTTTAAGGGCAAGCACTAAAATAAAAATTCCAAAACTTTGGACTTAACAACCTGAGGAGATAAAATGAAATAAAGGAGACACTTGAATAATATAAAAAGAGAGATGAAGGAAGAAATTAATCAACAATAAATGGGACAGTAGGAGAGACAATGATCTTGGCTCCTGGCTTCAGTCTGGCCCAGCCCCTGCCTTGCAGCCATCTGGGGAGTGAGCCAGCACATGGAAAATCTCTCTCTCTCTCTCTCTCTCTCTCTCTCTTCTCCCTCCCACCTTGTAATTCTTTCAAATAAATATAAATCTTCAAAAAAAGAGAGAGAGAGACAAACTTTAAATATTAGCATCCAGATAGCTTGAAATTAAAATTAAAAGAATTGGAAGTGTGATGTCATACAAAACAAAAAAGAAACTTGACATAAATATATTAATTGCTTATTAATCACTGATTGTGTTATTTTTTTTTTATCTTTTATTTAATGAATATAAATTTCCAAAGTACGTCTCATGGGTTACAATGGCTTTCCCCCCCATACAATCACTGATTGTGTTATTAATACTCAGTATTAACATAATTTTTATGATTGCTCCAATAATTAAGGTCTAATTTATGTTAGGCATTAACAAAGGAAGTAGTTTAGAGTAAGATTGTTGATTCCAAATTAAAAAATAGAGCAATTCTAAAATAGACAAAACAATCTTAAGGTTTATGAACTTAATAACATATTATCAAAATATATAAAGCAAAATGGAGTAACCAAAAATAAAGCAATAGACTGATCTGTAACCATATTAAAGGTTCTAACAGATCCCTTCAATACTTAATAGGCAAAACAGTAAAAAATCAGTGATAGTAAAGAAGAATTAAATGACATAATCAGCTAACATGGTCTCAATGATAGATAAGGATTTTTCAAGAAGCAAGTGCAAAAATCACACTTGTTTATACTGCACACAGGAGATATTTTCTAAAAAGGGCCATAAAGAATTTATCAGCACTTTTAAAAATGTTGCAATATTATACAGAGGACTTTTCCCAATCATCAGTCTTTTATGTTTTCTCATTTTTCTGGCTGAAATACAGATCCATCACACCCTCCATGTGACATGTTTGCTGTGATTTATAACTCCTCTTCAGCTTGCCTAAGTCTCACTTCATATTACCACAGTTTGTCATGCTGTTTTAATATCCGTTATGACCTTCTGGTGTGATAAAAATATTTCCATTAGATGTTGCCTCACTTCCTACATTTTTTGAGAACTTCTTTCATAATTTTGGCTCTCTTGTCTCTCTTGGATCACAATATATGAGGCGTCTACAAAATAGTCATTGAAAATTCACACTTTTAACTGCATTTTCCAAGAACATTTTGAAGACTCCCTTGAAGACTGTAATATAATTTCATTACTCAATACTATTTCTACAAAAGCTTTAGAAAATAATCTTAAAAAAAAATAGAGGGGATAGTGCTGGAGGAGTAGGTTAAGCCTCAGGCTGTGCGACAGCAAACCAAAGGGGCATGGGGTTGAGCGTCAGCTGCTCCACTTGCAATCCAGCTCCCAACTAATGGCCTGGAAAGATGGTCCAAATCCTTGAGCTCCTGCACCCATGTAGAACTGGAAGAAGATCCTGGCTCCTGGCTTCAGGTCAGCCCAGTTCCAGCTGTTGCAGCCATTTGTGGAGTGAACTAGTGAATGGAAGACCTCTTTCCCTCTGTCTCTCCCTCTCTCTGTCTGTAACTCTACCTCTCAATGAAAACTTGACACATGATCCTTTAGGGAACAAATCACATACAAGCATAGTAAGTATCAAAGATTTTCAAGTTTGCAGTTTTGGTTTTATCCACTGTTCAGTTCACCTTTTGCAAAAATGGTCATAGTCCTTCTTTGTATGTTGTATGTGTCTAACATAGGTCTTTTAATTTAACAGCCACCATCCCATGATTTTCTGCATATACCGTGAACCTGTAGGTTACCCCAGTTTTCCTCCCCTCTCCATGTTAATAAAGAGTTAATAAAGGTTACAATGCACCTGTGCACAAGGACCAATGGAAAAAACTGAGATGCATGTAGGACTTCCTAGCAGAAGTAGCATCCAAGCTGACTGACAAGCAGGATCCTACAGGTACATGGCCTCTAATTTTGGGGCTTTATAGCCCTCTCCTACTTCAATCCTCCCCTTTCCCTGCTCCCAAGGTGAACTCCAGGTACGTGAAGTCACTTGACACTTCTAGCACTTCCATCTCTCTCTCTCTCTCTCTCTCTCTCTCTCTCTCTCTGAAATGTTTTCCATCACTCAGTGTTGCCCCATTTACTTGGAAAGCAATCAAATGATTGCCTCTTCCAGGAAAATTCTCTGACATCTCCAACAAATCCATGTCCTCCCCTCACTCCTAACACCTTGGTCAGAGTCTATCATGATGTTACGAAAGTTTCCTAAAGCTTCAATGTGCACCTTCATCTCCCCTGTTGCATTGAGAGTTGGGGGCGGCAGAGCCTGTCTTAATTCTCTTTCTTAATCCTCTGTCACACATACTGAGAAGATGATCAATGAAAACGCAGCAACAAATGAAGAAAGGAATTGAATTTAAAATTCCCATCCAGTAGAAAGATAATTGCTGCAGTAATTGGAGCCACTAAGAAAAATTCAACTTGAATATGCTTAATGAAAAGGGAAAGATTTTATTGCCCTATAATAATACAGACTGAAGACTAGATGAGCTACAGCTGGACCAGGAGTTCACATTTTCTCCTCAGTGACATCACTAATGTCTCACTGCTTGTTTCTGAGCTGACTTCATTTCAGGCAGAGTCTCCTCAAGCATCTGCAAACCGTGGCTTCTGTCCTACCAGCTATATAACCCCACTGGAAGCAAAGGTTTGTTTTTCCAACCATTTCCTGACCAAAACAATTCCAGGGAATTTTCCTAATGGGCAGATTTAGGTCACTTGGCCTCCCCTGAGCCCATCAGGGTGGCTGTGGACCAGTCCCAGACCAGCCAATACCATTTTGGGTTGGCAGCTCGATCATGGAGCCTCAGAGGATGGTCAGTCTAGCTCAACCAATCACACGGAGGGAAGGAGACATGGATTCCAAATAAAAACCATGGATCTTTTTATCAAAAGAAGGGAAAAGAGACTCAATGCTGGCAGCAATAGCAAATGTGCTGGAGAATGGTCCACAGAGTGATACCATAGCCAATGAAATGCTGTGAAGAAGCAAATGGGTCCAGTGATCTGATGTCACATTCAAGCATCCCCTACCATTCTCCCTTCAGAGGTGGAGTCACTCTACTAGAGGCAGTGATTGCCACACAATAGGCTTGGCAGTTGTGATGGTTTGATTCCTCAAGGCAAGCCTGGACAAATTTGTACTGTACTGTCTGCCTTCCTTGTGGCTCCATTCATGCTTGAGATGCAGCAGATTTTAAAGGCATATTAGAGTCAATAAAACCTTATGAGACAATTAGTATTTGTATGGTAGCTTAGAATGCAATTATGGTTTTGTTTTACTGATGACACTGTTCCTTTCAGATTGGAGATTGCATGAATTTAAATTTGAGCATACAGGCCTGTCATTCAGCTTATAAGTTGAGTAATGAACTGAGAATAGAACTTATTATACCAAAATTGGATTATTTTGATTTTAATTTTTTCTGAGAAGTAAATATGGATCTATTAGGAATTAAATCCTGATCATTGATGTAACTGAAAAGGAAGAAAAATTCATTATTTCATTTTGTAAACAACTGATTTTATTGTGTCATTATTAGGCAAATAGTTACAGATCATTCCACAAATACATAAGTACTTCAAAAAGTTCATGGAAAGTTGAACTAAAAAATAAATACATGTGGTGGGACAGGAGTCTGGTGCAGTGGCTAAGGCACCCCTCGGGATGCCTGCATCCACGTCAGAGTACTGGTTGGAGTCCCAGCTTCTCCATTTCCCATCTAGTAAGGCATCTTGTGAAGCAGCAGATGATGGCTCAAGTACTTGCATCCCTGCCACCCATGTGGGAGATCCTGGTGGGGTTCCTGACTCCTTGGCTTCAACCTGGCCCAGCCCTAGCTGCTGAGAGTATTAGATAAGTTGATGAAAGATCTCTCTGTGTCTGATTCTCTGTCTCTCTTTCCCTCAGTCTTTCTATATTTCAAATAAAATGGATATAAATTAAATAAACTTTTTAAATGACAACTTCACAACACAAATTTTTGTAAAGATTTACTTATTTATTTGAGAGGCAGAATTACAGACAGAGAGAGGGAGAGACAGAGAGAAGTTTTCCAACTGCTCATTCACTCCCCAGATTGCCACAATGGCTGGAGCTGGGCTGATCAGAAGTCAGGAGCCAGGAACTTCTTCTAGGTCTCCCATGTTGATGCAGGGGCCAAAGCACTTGGGCATCTTCCACTGCTTTCCCAAGCCATTAGCAGGGAGCTGGACTGCAAGTGGAGAAGCTAGGACTGGAACAGGCACT